CATTTTATATGCAATGTCTCTCTTTAGAGAGGGCATCTTATAAGCAATGCTCTCTCTTTAGAGAGGGCATCTTATAAGCAATGCTCTCTCTTTATAGAGGGCATCTTTATGTAATGCACTTTCTAAATAATTTTATTATGAAATTATTGATTGGTAAAATTTATTTAAATAAATTTTTAAAAAATATTATTAAATAAATAAAAGTATAAATGTTTAATTGAAAAACTTTTAATTTTCAAAAATGAGTGCTGTAGAAATGAGGGCTATCCCTCTAACCTTTTAATAACAACAATAAATAGAGTCGACCTTTTAAAGAACCGTATTTTATACAAAGATGACAGCAAATAAACGACTTTAACAGTAGTATGGTTTCAAAGACTTAAATTATAATATGTTTAGGGTTAAAAAATATTTAATGCCCAATTCATTCTCAGAAAATTCTCTCTCTCTCATTTTCAGATTCTCTTCTCATTCTCTCAGATCTCTCTCAGATCTCTCAGATAAATTCTCTCTCAGTTCTCTCTCTCTCTCAGTTTTCTCTCTATCTCTCTCTCTAATTCTCTCTCTCAGATCTCTCATTCTCAGAAAATTCTCTCTCTCTCTCTCATTCTCAGAAAAAATTAAAGAGTGAATGTTTATTGTAATAGTATTCAGCTCGTTTTAAAGGCATTGAGCGCGTGTAATTTACTCACTGTAAAAGACTCGTGAATTGAATAGTGATATTTTACAAGTCAACTAAATTCTTTTTACCCCTAAACAAATTATTTTTTCATATTAATTGTCTTTATTGGGCAATCCAAATATGAAATTTGTCCTATTGATTTTATCTGGCTATATTGAGAAATTCAGAATTTTTTATTAAATAATTTTTAAAAATATTTTGAAATTTACAAAAATTATATTTTTTAATTTTTGCAAAATATTCTTTTGCAAAAATTAAAATCTATTATTTTAAATCAGGGCTTCTATATATGCGGATTTTACCTCATTTTGTGGTTTTTTGATAGGTTGATAAAGATTTTTAATATTTTTTTTGTAGTTGTTTGAATAAAATGTCATTTTTTCTCTTTCAGCCTTCCAAAATCCTCAAAAATTGGTGTAATTGTCATAATACGCTTCATATAACGGCATTTTACTACATATGAAACAAACCAAAAATGGTTCAAACATGGGATAATTCACTATAGTCCGAAAAAGAAAAAATGACAATTTATTCTAAAAACTTCAAAAAATATAAAAAATATTCATAATCTTCTAAGAACTAGAAAAAATCCTCATCAAACTGTTAAAAATCACCAAAATTGGGTAAAATCCGCCCATATAGATTCTCTGATTTAAAATAATAGATTTTAATTTTTACAAAAGAATATTTTGCAAAAATTAAACATATCTTTATGTAAATTTCAAAATATTTATAAAAATTATTAAATAAAAAAGTCTCAGTTTTCTCTCTATCTCTCTCTCTCTCTCAAATTCTCTCTCTCAGATCTCTCATTCTCAGAAAATTCTCTCTCTCTCTCATTCTCAGAAAAAAATTAAAGAGTGAATATTTAATTAATAATATTCAGTTCATTTTTAAAGGCATTGAGTGCGAGTATTTACGTTGCTTAACAAAACTCGTGCATTGAATAGTGATATTTTACACGTCCGCTAAATTTATCTTTTCACCCCTCAACAAATTATCTTTTAATATTAATTGGCTTTACTGGGCAATCCAAATATGAAACTTGTCCTATTGATTTTATCTGGCTATATTGAGAAATTCAGAATTTTTTATTAAATAATTATTAAAAATATTTTGAAATCTACATAAATAATACTTTTAATTTTTGCAAAATCTTTTTTTGTAAAAATTAAAATTTATTATTTTAAATCAGGGCTTCTATATTTGCGGAGAAAACCCTCATTTTGTTGATAGGTTAATGAAGATTTTTAGTGGATTTTTCTGGTTTTTAGAAGATTATGAAAATTTTTTATATTTTCTTGTAGTTTTTAGAATAAAATGCCATTTTTATTTTTAAAACTATAATGAATATGGTGAAATTTTTTGGTATTCTGCCTTATATGTAGTAGTTTGGAAAACTGAAAGTGAAAAATGCATTTTATTCTAAACACTACAAGAAAATATAAAAAATCCTTAATCAACCTATCAAAAAACAACAAAATAAGGGTTTTCTCCGTAAATATAGAAGCCCTGATTTAAAATAATAGATTTTAATTTTTACAAAAAAATATTTTTCAAAAATTAAGAGATATTATTTTTGTAAATTTCAAAATATTTTTAAAAATTATTTAATAAAAAAGTCTGATTTTCTCAATATGGCCAGATAAAATCAATAGGACAAGTTTCATATTTGGATTGCCCAATTAATATCAAAAGATAATTTGTCGAGGGGTAAAAAGAAAAATTTATGGGACGTGTAAAATATCACAATTCAATTCACGAGTTTTGATAAGCAACGTATATTACAAGCACACAATGCCTTTAAAAATGAGCTGAATATTATTAAATTAACATTCACTCTTTAATTTCTTTCTGAGAATATACATATTTAGATTTGTTGCTAAATACTCGTTTATAGTAGAACTAGGCTTTAAAAATATTAAACTTCAAATAAAAAACTTTTTCTTCAAAATCAAGCTTTTAAAAAAGCCCCGATTCCCGTTGATTTTTGAGATTTTGATGTGATGAAAAAGTAATTAAAGACTTTGTTATTTTTTTCTTTCCAATATCAATAAAACGACTAGTAACCAGGCCGTTTTTTTATCAAGACTGTATATATCCCCGACGATACCGATGAAAAGCCCATTAAACAAAGAGAATTATTTAATTCTTTGTATTTAAAATTTTTTTTATTTAATTTAAGGATGAAAATGTACAATTTAATTCTTTTAAATTTTTGTTTTCTTCAACCTTTTTCGTTATTATTTGGAATGAATCCAGGTCCTTCAGGATTTCAACCAATGGGAATCTATCCAGGAGAAAGTTCAGGATCGCACCAACCAGTGATTTTATTATTCTTTTTCTAATTATTTTATGGAAAAAATATAGATGATTTTTAGGAGCTTTCTCAACTAGACCACGAAATTCGTCAATTATCCGAAGGTTAGATTACATTATATGGTAAACATTTTAGTTTATCTACAATTTATTTTTATTGTGGATACCGGGCTTGGAAAGTTCAAAAGGTGGAACTCTATAAATAATTAAAAACAATTTTTATTTTTCATTTTTTAGGGCAATCATGAGATGGAACAAAAAATTGACGCAGAAACAAATGAGCTAACCATCTGTCTTCAACAAATCCCAAACGAAATAAGTGCAATCGTAGAAGACATGCACTTCAATAGGTATTTTTTTCGCACGAAAGGGGCCATTAGCCATCTAGTGAAACATTTTAGGTTGGCTATCTAGCTTAGGGCTTCCCATCAGTATTATAATTACTCTGTTATTTTTTAAAGTTTTGTCATAATTTACCTTTCATTTCTTTCAATTAACACTCTTTCATCTTTCTATACATTTTAAATTTTTATTTGAATGGTAACAAAAAAAATTTCTGCCCGACATTCGCGGCTTATTGCTGGTAAGAAAATCCTGATTATAGTTTCAAGAGGACAAGTTCCAAATCTTTACAATTTTCTATTCTTTCTAGCCCAACTTTTATTAGTTTTAATTTTTCTGAATTTTTATTTTATTTTCTTCATCATTTTTACTGTTAGTTAAAAAACTGTCTCGATAAATTAGTTAGAATTTTATGTTATTTTTAATTACATTTTAGTTTGAAAAGTATTTTAAATTCTTTATTAATCCTTTATTTATTTAGCTAAGATTTCAATATAAAAATATGATATTTATGCATTCTTGAAAAAATTTTGTTTTTTGGAACAACCTTTCCCGTTGCTAAAGACATTTGGAGAGTGGGCAATTAAATAGTAGGCCGGTAGGGCGTGAGCCTTGGTGAGTATGTAGATCTTTTAATATTTGATTTATTTTTTTCTTTCCACCTTCGCCTACATTGTTACATTTCTATTACGCATAAACTGTTATTCTTGTGCACGCCAACATTAGCTAAATTTCGGAACCGAACACATAACTGAACAACCTACGGTTGTAACTCAGGCTACTTTTAATCCATTGATTTATTTGCGAGACCTATTCTTATTAAATTCAAAGTAAATTGAATTTATCTAATAACTAAGATTTATCACAAGAGTATTTTAACTACAAATCACCGAAAAATGTTTAGATAAAAAATGGAAATAAATTAAAGAAATTGAAAAACTAATACAAATTGTGCTAGATAGGATAGAAAATTATAAAATTTACTTGTTGGGAAAGAAGAAAGCATTAATAAAAATGGACTCTATAGTATGACAAAACTTTAAAAAAAGAAAACACAATAACCGGAACAGATTCAATAACACTTATCCAGTGTTAAAATTAATATCCGTTGACAGAGGTATGTTGTTAATAAATGACTGGAAATTAAAAGACCTAGATTAAAAGACTAAAATAGACTTAAAATATATTTTTAGTTTTGTCATAATCTTTAATAGAAAAGTCAGCTAATTTTTACTCTTGTTCTCTTGCTTTCCATGCTAGCAAACTCATCAATAAGAGAACCAGGATTTTTAAGCAAATGCATATTTTTTGCAATCTAAAAATATTACACCCACAAAACGGCCCATCACAAAATGTCAAACTATGTAAAATCTTGGTTATCGAGATCTTCATTCTCGTACGACACTCCCAGTCTGGTCTCTAGTGCAAACACTCAATTGGTCAAAATATAAATTTAAAAAAGGGAGTAGTCGTTATCTGACTTAAATAAATTTAAAATTTCTAGGTATAAATTGTATATTTCATGCACATTTTTGTGCATATTTTGGTATTTTATCATGGATATTATAGTGCATATTTTAAGTTTTTTAATGCATAAAAATCCTGACTCTACTCATAAACATAATTTCATCTTGTTGATACCTTCATTTAAGTAGAAATTAATATAAAATATCTTAATACTCCTTACTTCAATTTCCTTGAACAGATCCACCACGTCCACCTCTACGACCTCGCGCACGTCCACGTTGACCATGTTGGCCTTGTCCTTGTTGACCTTGTTCATATTGGCCTTGCCCATGTTGACCTTGTCCCATTAGTGCCGCCGCTACTAAATGTGTCAATTAATGCATAAAATAATTTTTTCCTTTTAATCTTATTTTTAATAAAGCCAAGTTTGCATGTGAATTATATTAAAGCCAATTAATTACTTTGATTTCGAAGCACTTGATCATAATTATGAAGTTGAGTGAGATGATTGTAAATTATTTGCATATATGCTAAAAGTGATGTTTGTTTGGTTTTGTTTGATACAATAAGGTTGTGGCTCTCTTGTATTTGTTGTTCCAAGTTAGGGTCGCCCTAACGAATTTTAAATTAAAATTATATATACTTGATTAAAGTTCCCCAGTGGTTGTGGAGGGACCACCACTGCTTTCCAGTCTTTTTCCCTATCTTTATGCCTAATTCTCTGGGAATGGCGGATTGTGGTGTTCTCGTTGTACTCTCTTAGATCGATGATTTCTCTTCATGTTATTTTAGATGATCCCGGCCTGATCATTTCATTTATCTAATCTCGCTCTTAGTTCTTCCAAATCTCTTTGATAAAATTTTATTTACCAGATAAAAAACTTTTTATATAAAAAATATTTTTTGCCTGATTTTGGATTCTAGCATTTAAATGATGATTTAATTGTTGATTTAATACATAATATTGATTTAATAAAGGAATATATGTATTAGTCAAACTATCATATTGTTGTCTAATATTGATATTTAATTCCGCAAGGTCAGGATCTTTATTTTAAAAATAAATAGTTTTTATAGTTAAAAATTATATTATTTTATAAATTTAAATAAAAATAAATATTACGTAACGGAAGACACTTCAAGTCGCCAAATTGAACAAGTAAATGACGGATTTGTTGATTCATTTGACTAAAAGCCTATTAAAATTATTTATATTTTTATTTCGCTACAATAGTACAAACATCTTGTTCAGCTTGTTGTTGCGACCTTGAACCTTCTCCTGGATACATTCCTCTTGGTTGCGATCCTGACAGACCCGGATCCATCCCAAATAATAATGAAAGATGTTGAAAGAAACAAAAATTTAAAAGAAATAAATTGTAAATTTTCATCTAAAGTAAATAAATACTAAAATTTATATAGTACATACATATTATTAGAAGACTTTACCCTTTTACTACCGCTTTGTTTCTCTAGATCTTTCTTCATTTAATAGATAATCTCGATATTCAAGAATATCTCGATAAATCTTAACAAATATCGGTAAATAATTATTCTAGGACAACAGGACCGGATTAATACAGAAAATACGTCCGGCTCCACCAGCCCCAATACTAAGTAAATTCTAGTTGAAGATCCGGAGCGGAATATATTGTATTTATATTAGGGCTTCCCCCTAAGCGCCGCAGGCGCTTAGGAGCATTATTTAGTAGAACATTATTTAGTAGTATTAAATTGCTTTAAAGTGCTTGCAACATAAAACTAATTAAAGTCAATAGCCATAAATTCTATCGAAATATTCTAAATTGTTCGATTTGTCCAATTTTCTACCCAAATTTTAAAAATAACAGGAACACCCTATTCTCAGGAACACCAGGAACACCCTATTCTCGGATAAAAATAATTAATCGGTTAACGTGAGTTCCTTTTTTCTCTCTAACCTTTTAATAAAAACAATAAATATGCACAATATGCACTTAAAATTTGTTTGGCAAGCCGTCAAATTTAAAAATAAAAATTTCTTTCATGTTTACTGTTAAAATCCTAAAAGAAACTCCTTGTTAGCAAAAAAATAAAGGGATTTTGAATGTTTATTGCTTTAAATTAATGAATGAAGCAAACTAGCAATTTGCTTTTTTAAAGGCAATCAGACGCCCAATTAACTCACATGAAAATTAATGCGAATTAATAGCCTTATTCAATTCACAAGTTAAATCACGATGTTACTTATAGAAAATCGGACAAATCGAACAATTTAGAATATTTAGTAGAATGGGGAATTGGAAAACATTGGCTCCGGCTCCGGGCATTTCAAATTCTTGGCTCCAGCTTCGGCTCCGGGGTTTCCAAAATCTTAGCTCCGCTCCGGCTTCGTGGGAGCCGGAGCCGGCGAAGCTAATTTTATCGCTCCCATAAAGGACTTAATATTGATGAAAACCCTAATATTGATGAATACACAATTTTTAACGAAATAAAATGTTCAACCAAAGTTAACAAAAACTTTTCAAAAACCCTTTAAATAAACAAAAAAACATATTAAGATTTAAATGGGGAAGAAAGCTTTTTGAATATTTATTGTTTGTAAATTAATGAATACAACAGGCAATTTGCTTCTCTTTTTAAATGCTCTCACTAAATGCTCTCACTAAAGCTCTCACTAAAGAGAAGGAATGTTTTAACGAGAGTGAATGTTGTTCGAATGTTTTAAAATAAATTGATAAATACAGCAAACCTACATTTATACATACAACTCTTCATTTAAGCAATCAGATGCGCAAATCTAAATATATTTCAGAAAAAAATTAAAGAGTGAATGTTTATTGTAATAGTATTCAGCTCGTTTTAAAGGCATTGAGCGCGTGTAATTTAAGCTCCGTAAAAGACTCGTGAATTGAATTGTGATATTTTACACGTTTCCTAAATTTTTCTTTTTACCCCTAAACAAATTATCTTTTCATATTAATTGGCTTTATTGGGCAATCCAAATATGAAACTTGTCCTATTGATTTTATCGGGCTATATTGAGAAATTCAGAATTTTTTATTAAATAATTTTTAAAAATATTTTGAAATTTACATAAATAATACTTTTAATTTTTGCAAAATCTTTTTTTGTAAAAATTAAAATTTATTATTTTAAATCAGGGCTTCTGTATATGCGGATTATACCTCATTTTGTGGTTTTTTGATAGGTTGATGAAGGATTTTTAGTGGATTTTTCTGGTTTTCAGAAGATTATGAAGCTACAAGAAAATATAAAAAATCTTCATCAACCTATCAAAAAACCACAAAATGAGGTAAAATCTGCACATACAGAAATCCTGATTTAAAATAATAGATTTTGATTTTTACAAAAAAATATTTATCAAAAATTAAGAAATATTATTTTTGTAAATTTCAAAATATTTTTAAAAATTATTTAATAAAAAAGTCTGATTTTCTCAATATGGCCAAATAAAATCAATAGGACAAGTTTCATATTTGGATTGCCCAATAAAGCCAATTAATATCAAAAGATAATTTGTTGGGGGGTAAAAAGAAAAATTTAGGAGACGTGTAAAATATCACAGTTCAATTCACGAGTTTTGTTAAGCAACGTAAATTACACGCACTCAATGCCTTTAAAAATGAACTGAATATTGTTACAATAAACATTCACTCTTTAATTTTTTCTGAGAATATACATATTTAGATTTGTTGCTAAATACTCGTTTATATGTAGATCTAGGCTTATTAAAATATTAAAATTTAAATAAAAAACTTTTTTTCAAAATCAAGCTTTTAAAAAAGCCCTGATTCCCGTTGATTTTTAAGATATTATGAAAAAAGTAGTTAAAGACTTTGCTCTTTTTTTCTTCTCAATATCAATAGAAACGACTAGTAACCGGGCCGTTCTTTTGTCAAAACTGTATATATCCCCGACGATACCGATGAAATGCCCATTAAACAAAGAGAATTATATTTTATTCTATGTATTTAAAAATTTTTATATTTAATTTAAGGATGAAAATTTACAATTTAGTTCTTCTAAATTTTTGTTTTCTTCAACCTTTTTCGTTATTATTTGGAATGAATCCAGGTCCTTCAGGATTTCAACCAATGGGAATCTATCCAGGAGAAAGTTCAGGATCGCACCAACCAGTGATTTTATTATTCTTTTTCTAATTATTTTATGGAAAAATATTTTATGGAAAAAATATAGATGATTTTTAGGAGCTTTCTCAACTAGACCACGAAATTCGTCAATTATTTCAACAATATGGTAATTCTGAACTTCATCCACGCATAAGACGACGGCAATTAAGTAATGCTTATTTTTATTCAATTTTTAACTCATTTTTTAATAAAGAAAACCAAGAAAACTGCAAGTAATTGACACTGTGGAAAAACAATATGATAATTTACTTTCCGCATATAACGAGTTAAGCAATGAATTTGAGACTAGTAGTGCAAGAGTTCAAAACATTCCGATGCTTAGATTACATTATATGGTAAACAATTTTGTTTATTTACATTTTATTTTTATTGGGGATACCAGGCTTGTAAATTTCAAAAGGTGGAACTCCAAAAATAATAAAAAAAACAATTTTTATTTTTCATTTTTTAGGGCAATGTGATGGAACAAAAAATTGATGCAGACACAAATCAGCTAACAATCCGTCTTCAACAAATCCCAAAAAAATAAGTGCAATCGTAGAAGATATGCAGAAAATATACAAATCATCTCATAGAAGAAGGTAATTAATTGGATTTAATATACCCCCGAAAATAACATGATATTGACAATTCAGCTTGGTTATCGATATATTGGATTAATTTTATTTAAGATTTAATTAGAGGAAAAAACTTAAATTATTTAAAAGATTAAATAAAATAAATATAAACAGCTGATCGTAAACTTCAACGTGCTGCGATTAACCATCGATATCGTCAAAGTCAACGAGATCGTAGGGCGGGGAATCGCGAATCTGGTTCAAACAATTGAAGAGAGTATAATTATTATTATAATATTTAATTTTAATTTATATTTTAAGGAAGGAAGAAGATGATAAGGTTACGAGGATGCGAGGGACATATGAAGAGTTAGCTCATGTTGACAAAAAATTGGAGAAAACAGTCTCCAAAATCTTTTTTTCTAGATTATGATAAAACTCCAATAAGTATCCTTTTCGCATTAAAGGGGTCATTAGCCATCTTAGTGAAACATTTTAGGTTGGCTAACTAGCTTAGGGCTTCCCATCAGTAATATAATCTATTATTTTTTTAAAGTTTTGTCATAATTTGCCTTTCATTTCTTTCGATTAACACTCTTTCATCTTTCTATACATTTTAAATTTTTATTTGAATGGTAACACAAAAATTTCTGCCCGACATTCGCGGCTCATTGCTGGTAAGAAATCCTGACCAACTTTGAAGAGGACAAGTTCCGAATATTATGATTTCTATTCTTTCTAGCCCGACTTGTATCAGTTTTAAATTTTCTGAATTTTTATTTCTTCGCCTTTCACATTTTTACTGGTAGTTAAA